CCTTGAATTGCTTGTATGTTGATCTGGGTTTAAAACATAACACCCAGCATAGATTTTTGTATGTGTGAGAATGTAGAATGAAAGGTGGGAGGGAATGACCTAGATGCTGTAAGGTCAGTTTAACAAGGAAGAGGTGAATTAGAGCTAGAAAATAAACCTTGAACTTTCTGGCCTTTCAATACACCTGCAGAACCAGCCCTAGAAAGCTTATGAAACAAAATAATTTAAAAACAAGGATATCAGCTGCTAAAGGCATTCAAATCTGACAGAAATTTTGTAAAAAACCTAACAGTAGGAGAGCTGTGTCAGACAGGATGCACCCCAGGGCCAGGCATAGCATCCCCTCCTGCCTTCTCACCTTTAACTTCTGGCACAGTACACCGACAGGCAGCCTCTAGTTCTGGCAACTCTCACTCACATAGAGAATTCCTCAGCAAAAAGGTCTGGGCTCCTGAGGACTGAGTTCAACACTCCTATTATTTGATGAGCAGATCACCTGAGAAATGAGCAGGCTGGTGAAGGGAGCTTCAATGTCAACAGACGCCTGCATTTAAAAGTTGGTCTCTTACCAAACTGTTTCTAAAAACACCCAACAAACCAACCCAAAATAACAAAAAACTCCAACTCCTTCAGGGTTGTATTCTTTGATTCAGAAGAAACCAGTGGAAGCTTAAGTTTGAATCCGACATTTTGATAAAGTCTGGGTACAGAAGGCAAAAATATCTATGCTGCTAAGCTAGTATGCTGCTTATACTGATAGTGACTGCACCTGAGAACTTGGTGAAGTATGTGAAGATCTTTTCTCTTGTCTTCTCTGAACAGCAAAGCTCAGACGCAGTTTTCAGGAAAAAAAAACCAAAGTGAATCTTTGTTTTTATTGTTCTGCTAAACTCCTACATTACCTAGTCTTGCTGCTTTCCAAAAATGTGGAGAGCTTTGATACACCATGGCAGCAACCTCTGTAGTTTATAAGTGGGATTGTTTGCAACCTTGTGATATCATAACCATGAGGTTTGAGATAACCCTACAGTCCCAAGGATGTACAATCATTTTACACACTGAAAAATCATTTTGCAACTGAATCAGAACAGTCCATAATAAATTTTTCCAGACACAGTATTTGTTTTGACCTTACAGCCCAAAATACATGAAGATTATGTTTTGGCTTCTGGAAGTGCATAATGACTCATGGATTGCTCGAGAATTTTTTCAGCACTTTTGTGGCTTCCCACTGGTTACTAGCAATTCCTTTTTTTGTCATTATGACCTCTGGCAGTGGCAGCTGGAAAGCTGAACATGGAGGAGAAAAGTACTACAGAACTCCACCATATGCAGGGACATCAACAGATGTTTGATTTTTTTAATAATTTAACAGTGCAACCACATATACACCCCTTCAGATAAGGTCTCCTGCAGATGCCAACATGAGAAATTAAAACAATCATTCATGATGACAAATAGTTTTCACCTAGCAGCTTCCTTTCACATTGTGCCAAAAGAAAATGCTTGCATTTCCTCTGCTGCAGAAAATACCATGCCTCATTTCTTTATTACTCTACCCTCATCAACTGACTGGGCTCTCAAACAAAATAAGATGAAAATTTTTGGTCCCAGTACTCTTGGATGTCTACCCTTGCTTGGGTTTGCAGAGCTTGGCAGTGTCTGACAGTGCTCTGTGAGAGAGATCACCAGCCAATGCCCTCCTGACGCACAGGGAGTGCCTGGACATCAGGCTCCAAACAAAAGTGACCCTCAGAAATGGCATACATGAGACAGCTCAGCATGAAGCTGTCCTTTCACACAGAGGACAAGGCAAACTGAACTGAACCCTGCTGTTAAACAAGGGATGTAACTGTCCCTCTTTCTGTTCACTCGTTTCCTGAATGTAATAGGCCTGTCATGGCTGTAGTTACGAATTAATGTAATTTTGTGAAGAAGTCCGAACCCCAAAGTCTTCATTTGCATTTGCCTATCCCAACTGTGACAAGTAGATAACATGTTCTTCTGAGCTTTGAGTACAATGGCTAGCTTTGAATCCTAAAAACCATACATATCCTGTGTAGGCAAATACATGCACAAATAAGCAGAAAACATAATCCAAAGCAGTCATGCTTTGACGTTTTCTTTGATGGGTTTTAAAAAGAGGAGGTGAGATTTTAAGTAGTTACTTGTACTACTGCTTGGAAAACCACAGAGAATCTCAGAGCAGTCTTTTCTCTCTGTGTAGCAGTGCGCAAGTAGATTGTCACCAATGCTGTTCTCAGCAGTCTGTCAGCAGAAGTTGAATTTAGGATTCATTAGATTTTAATACGGTATGTGTAGGAAACAGACTTGTGGAGGCATGTGATGGAACCTGTCCCAGACAGAAGTGCTTTAGATGTGATGACAGGTCTTGGCAGGGGTAAGGCACAAGGTTCTTTGACTATCAGTGGCAGACTCCTTTTCATTTCCATGCAACAATGAAACAGATTTGTTTTCATCTTCTTCACATTGTTTTCTCCTGCAGGGAAACCAGAACAGGGTCCACTGTCTCATGCCCATTGCAGTGACTGCTTGCAAAGTATCTCAGTGAGTCCAGCAATGCTGTAGTGTGTCTTGGCACATGACACTTCCCTGAGCATGGAGTGCTTTTTTCCCAGGGAGTATGATGTAAAAAATGCCTTCATGCTGGGGCCCTGCCTAGCATCCTGCTCTGTTACAGGAATGACAGACCAGCAATGTTACACCAGACACATAGGTCCTAAAAAGAACAGTTTTTCCCTTTGTTAATGCATACACCATTGCCAAAACCGTGATGCTGTCTTTCCTCTTCTCCAAGTGAAGAGCTATGCACCATCTGCTTTGTCTTCCACCAGGCAGAGCAGCTGAGAAGGCAGAGTCTACTCACCCCAGACCCCCATTTGATTGAACAGAGATGGCCACTTAGTTTGCCTCATGGTGCCTTAGCTGACGGAGGTTACCTCTTCCTTGTAGCTTGACTGCTTTTCTTTACATCGTTGTTGTGGCTATAATGAGCCTCCTTTTAAGCAGACATTTACTTCAGCAGCTGGAGGAGACAGATACTGCCATCTGTCCAGCCAGCAGTGGAGGATGAGGGGCTTGCAAGTACAGTGCTTGTTGCTGGCCAATTTTTCTGCATTGATTCCTGAGTTAAGGACCCAGGGGACCAGTGTTTTGTGCACTTTCAGGCTGGTTGGTTTAGCCACATTGTTGATGCCACAATGACATTTTCAGTATAGGGATTCAACCTCCAAGTGATTTTTTTGTCCTGCACTGAGGAGACAGGCACCTTTTCACATCATCCAAGGTAAAAATTTCAGGTAAGTCTGGGTGTTTCTTAAAACACTTTGGGTACAGTTTGCAAGACCACAAGCCTGGAACAGGTTCTGATTAAAACAGATTAACATCTAGCGTCTGTACTGAGTACAAAGATGTAATGAAAAAAAGCTTCATTTCTGAAAGGTATGAACATCTAGCATATCTATTTCCTATTGTGGACAACCAAAAGGGAACACTGGAACTACATTTCTTATAACAGACATTGACTTAATGTAGATAAAGCACTTTTTAAAAATACCAATTTCCTGAAAGGTTGGGTTGTATATATGAATGTGAAACACAGTTGAAAATTGTTTTATGTAACTCCTCCTGACTTTGAAAATGTACAGTTACAGCCCTATGGCCCTTTAATACCCACAAACTTCAAATAAGGTTGAAAGAAAATGCCAAAATGAAATAAAGAAGGACTGAAGTAAGATTTTTGGAGCTGAGACACCTCTGCTAAACCTAGAATTGCTTGCATAAATTTACTTGAAATTAGCTGCAGGAAATCTTTGCTCTTTCATTCATGTAGAGGCCTTTGGTTGACAGTACAGATTTCCTCTCTCTTCCAGTTCAATGCAGTTGGTAACATTTCAAAACAGAAAGATGCATACCCTATCTGAGTGGCTCCTTCCTGCCTCCAGGAATACCACAGCTGACTGGACTTGCCACTTGCATGCTGTGATGCTGGGGGGCTACACCTTCAGAGTCCTGCTTGCCTCTCCAGGGAGAGCACCTGGCATACTACACATTTTCAGAAAGACTGTGAGAGTTTTAAAAAGCTTAAATATTTGAGGCTTCTGTTAAATTGCTTTGTGACTGCACATATATTTCCACATCTCTCTGTCTATTCCTCATTCCCTCCATAACAGTGACAGTGTATCAGAAACCAGCTCCAAATACTGCTTATGGAAAAGGCAGGATGAAGATAAGAGCACTAGTGTGTTCACCTGTTTGCTCTGCTGACAGGGTGAAGATGGTCAAAATTGCTTGTTTTTCTCATGTAGACGAAACAAATCCCGTCTATATATATCATGGTTTATCATACAGAATCCTCTTCATGATGAAAAAAAGGATTTGGATTATTATGTTAAAATTTTCCGTGGGTCAAATCTCCAATTCTGTAAAAGCATGTTGCAGTCAAGACAATTAGAGGGCTGTGCCTCCAGGTTTTACTTTTATGTATTTCTAAGCTCATCTCAGGGCACACTCATTCAGTGCAGTGCACAGTAAAAATATGATGGGAGAAGAGGCCAATGCCATTATAATATCTAATGAAAAAGTGTAAGTGCAGTGATGGTAGCTTTGAATGCGCACATGGTCTTGAGTTATTGCATCCCACACAGCTCTGAGGAGAATGTATCATTAATAATTTGTAGTAACACATGGCTTCTAATTGATTGAATTATTTTTTCTGTTTAAAACAAACGGAAAAAAAATACATAATTCATTTCCTTAAAGCTCATCCTGTGTCAGAACGAGCTGTGCTTTTAGGATGATATTCACTCCTCTAAAGAGTCAAAGCATGTACTCCAGCATTTTGGGAGGATGCTTAGCAAAAGACAGACTGTTTTCATCTCTGATAGCCTGATAAAGAGGAAGAATATGTCTCCTAGATGAGAGATCAGATTTGTTATGCTGAATGGGTGCCATAGAGAAGAAAACAGCAAGTAACTTACCACATCAATTATCTGCGACAAGGAAAGCCGGAGCTCAACTATGAGTGGTTGGGAGTCATTCACTACAGGTCGTTCCAGACGATTGTAGTTCCGCAGCAGTTCTCTGTACAAGCGTCTCTGGCTTTCCCCTTGCTGAGAGACTAGAGGAAAAGAAAGAAGGTGTCTGTCATTCACACTGTCACACAGCCAGCGTTGTTTGTCTGTTTTGTTGAAAATTCCCTCTTATTAGGTTTGTAATTAGAAAGCAGCTCCTAAAGATATCACCCAAATTCTGCATAAGGATGTGACACAGCTTTTCTGCATATGTGAATTATGAACTCTCAAAAAAATTAACTACTAACACTCTAACTCATTAGTAACATTCAGAAGCTACTGAACAGAACTGGGGCTCTGACTGAATAACCCCATTCCTTGGAGTCCCTCCTGCTGATGGATAGCAGGGTTGAGGCTCCAAAACTACCAGGCAGCTTCCTGGAAGGCAAGCAAATGAATTCATTGATTTGCTTGTTCTTATTTCCTAGACACTGGCTACTGTGAGCCAGCACTTACTTAGCCATATTGTGTTTATATCAAGCATGGGTAACAGGTACCCTTATTTCTTCGAGCTGATATATCAGGCTTTTTTCTATGCTCAAGAAAGAGTAACAACTGTTCTTCCTACCCTCTTCAGTTTTTCTAGGTTTTGGGTTACTTTCCTTAACTCTTTTCCATCTCATGGCAGCACACTTTGTTAACACTTACTGAGGTGGTGGTATGAAGTCTAGAGTATTTAACAGCTATTACAGAGACATTGAATTTCTGGTATTACATGCTTAACTCAGCTTGCACTGAGTTACTGAGTCCACACAAAGCTGTCATGCAAGCAGCTGAGCATGTTGAAGATTAGCAGAATTTCAGTCTATGCTTAATTTCCAAGATGCCCTAGTTCCTACCTTTGGGGTGGGTGTGGAGAGCATCCATCTAAGCTACTCTGCCAGGTTCATGGATGTCACAGTTGATGACAACTATGGATGGTAAAGGTTTGGTGACTCCCAGCAAAGCAAGGAGGTTTCTGGGATACACTGCTCAGAACCCTAGTTTTCTCAAAACTGTGTTGATTTTGGTGCTATGGCTAGTGGCAGCCTGAGCTCTACTTAAGAGCTGCACCTAAGAGAGGGAAGGTCATGGGCTGCAGGTTCCCTGAGGTCAATCAGTCCTGTCAACATGAGTGTGTATTCTCTGAACTGTATAAATTCAATCCCTGGAAGAGAATCTACACTCTAAATCATTATTACTTTGGACTGAAGCAATTTTTATCCACTGCAGTTGCCACTCTCTGTATATGACGGTTTTTACTTCTTGATCAGAGCTCTGCACGTTGAGATCAAAACTTCTCTCAGAGAGGTTGTGATGAATATTTTCTTGACAGTGCAAACAAACTATAACAACCCGTTCTGCCTTCCCAGCCTCTTACTATGCTTAGCAAACCCTTAAAGTCTGAGGCAAGCTGCCCTACAACAAAGCAGCCATGCCTTTTAAAACTAATAATAAATTTAGTTTACAAACACTCCATAGGTCTGTTTAACTTGTGTTCTTTTCATTTTTGCTGATACTCAAGGGAGATTGTGACTTTCTAGCACGGCAGTGCCTAGTAAACAAGAAAGAAGAGTATTTTGGTTCAGTTTGGTAAATTACACCATCACATCAATTTCATGAGTCCTTTTTCCTTTTGCGTAACATTCTACATGATCACAGGTGCCCAGAGGAGCAAATGCTGTAAGCAAGCCTTCAATAGCCCTTGTTGACACCTCAGTATTGGTAGCTGTGCTTTCACCAATGTGCTTTCTGACCACAGTATCTCTCCTTCAGCATCTTAAGTAATCTTCCCTGCTTACTTAAGCAGAGATTTAAGTCCTCTGTTACAGTCGTAGTATTTTCCAGTACCTCAGCAGGACCAGACTCCATCATAAATGTCTTGTGTGTGAAGAAAACCCGTGAAAATCCCACATGTTGTCCTATGGAAAGATGCTCTGAGTTTGGAGCAGATTTGCTGTCCTTTCACTCACCTACACACCCATGCTCCTGTGCTTTAGGGAAGAAATTACTTTCCGAACTATTGCTCTCATCTTGAGTACTTACATAATACTTGCCTTCAACCTTTCTTTTAAACTGGCTCCCTCAGCTTTTAAAAGGGGAAAAGCACCCTTCACCAGTTTCTGGACCCAACCGAGCTGCTAGACTGCCCTGGTACTACAATTGTCAGGGTGAGTTGAAGAGCCCCCCAAGGAGGGGGGGGCTTGCAGAAATCTAAGCATAACCCTTTGCTTTGGAAAGATATCTTTTCACTATGAGCTTCATCCATGCTGAAGTCAAGCCTCTTTCCCTGTTAAACTTTGTGAAGTGAAGTAACCAAGAACTGCACCTAGTTTTCCACCCTTTCTTCAGCTCTCCTCTCTGTAATGTAATCCTGGTACTTTGCAATCTCTTGAATTCAAAACTGTTAACACAGTCATAGATGATCTATTCTTAGTCTGCCGAGTTGGCATTGGTGACCATATATTTTTGTGCTGCATGGTTTTGCTTACAAAATTACATATATTCAGAAGCAATGGAGCCCTGGGGTGTCCTGGCAAAGTGCCACAGCAGCTGTTGGTACCACAAAGAGCTGGCTAGCCTAATCACACTGCCATCTCTCTGCTACAGCTGCTTTGGAGAAGGGAACTGAGGTGGAAGTCTAGTCTGACTTACATGTTCACAGCCTTTTTCTTTAAATTGTAATTTTCAAATACTTAATGTTTCATACTTGAGACAGATTTCTGCTTTTTTCTCCTGTGTTCGTGCTAATGCATTTTGACACTACAACTCTGTGTGCTAAATGGAGTGCTTGCTGGTGATGGGGAAGCCTGAATCTCCCAGGATTAGTGGTAGAATAAGCTTTACCACTAACTACCCTTCAGTCACAGCAAGTTTAACCAAAAGCAGTGGCACTGGTTCATCTTATAAACTAAGCTAGATGACAAATGTCAACATTCAAGGTTGCGAAGTCAGTCTCCCAAAATCAGTGCCAGACTTGCTTGCCTATGTTACTGGTAAGTAAAAGTAACTGGCAAAGGGCATGTTTTCTAAGGAAAGGATCTGAGAGTTTTTATGACCCACTGCCCATGATAGTGTCTCCCTCCCAAAGATATGAAGTATCTTTGAAGCAGTAGGAAAACACACAGACTCATTAAAATTTGAGAGAAGAGCAGTGTAGGATGTTTACCTCAAGCTTAGCAATAGTTTTAACACCATCTCTGAAAAATTCTCACGCACATTTGCCTATGCCTTGCAGGCTAGATAAGTGAACACTGGGCAGAAAAGTGGCTGAACTGTCAGGTTCAGAGGATTGTAGTCAGCAGCAAAAAGTTCAGCTGAAGGCCAGCCGGTGGTGGAGTACGCCAGGGACGGATACTGGGAACAATAATATTTAACACTGGTATGAATGATGGGACAGAGTGCACCCTTAGCAAGCTGGGTTTTTTTCAGATGGTGCAAAACTGGGAGGAGTGGCTGATACAGCACAAGGTTTTCTGCGACTCAGAAGGACCTTAAAGAACTGGAGAAACGACTGACAGGAAGCCCATGAAGTTCAATGAAAAAAAGTATAAAGTTGGCCTGCACCTGAGGAGTAATCCCAGGTACCAGAAAAGGCTGGGGGCTCGCTGTCTGGTGAGCAGGATAGCACAAAAGCCCTAAGGAACCTTATAGGTGCCAAGCTGACTATAAGCCAGCCATGCACCCTTGTAGCAAAGGTCACCAGCATCCTGAGCTGCAACAGGAAGAACCACACAAGTAGATCAACAGAAGTGATTCTTCCTCTCTACTCAGCACTGGTGATACAGACCTGGAATGCTGGATCCAGTGCTGGGGCTTATCAGCAGAAAGGAAACATGGAATTACCAGATCAAGGGCTGGATTGTTCCTCAAGATTTATTGTTTAATACTCTGAAAATGTTCGCTAAACTGCTCCTGGAGTTTGCAGACAACTGGAAAGCACAAGGCAACCAATCCTTGGATTGGCAGTTAAGAGCTCTATGGAAAGCAGTTTTTTGTGCACTACCTTAAACTTTTAAACACCTCTCTGGAAATTTCTTCTGTGCTTCTGCATATGTAAAGAAGTCTGCAAGAAGCCCACTGATTGAATGATTCATATTGCCTATAAACTGCTACCAATCTTTTGAGCATAGATGCTATAGTTGTATTTCATGTTTCTTTCCAGGATGTAATTGCTGAGAATTGCACAGAAAGGGAACTTGCAGTTAGGTCCGGCCAGACTATCCATATGGCGCCCCCAGGAAGGACAGATGCTCTCTCCTTTCCAGGAGCTGTGCTGTCATGCCTGGTCTTGGCTGGTTGATTTTCCTGCTCTGCTTTGCGTGCCAAGGTCCCCAAGCTATAAGGCAAGAGTCCAGCCCTTCCAGTTCCCCAGGTTTGTTCACAAAGTAGTCAGCTTCTTAACTGAGGATGCTAGTCTGAGACACATTCTGGCTGGTTGTGCACAGCAAAGAATAAATAATGAAATATTGACAAGGTAGTAGAACATGGATTTCCACTAGTTTTTCAACAATGACACCTGTATTATCAACCATTCTACATCTGTTTCATAGTGTTCTCTGGTTTTGTTTTCATAATATCTCAACTTTTGGGGAGGGGGAGCTTCTGTTTTCTAGCTGTTGCTCATTTCTTTAGGCAGACACTTGAGTACAAATATACAAGTTATTACTTTATTCATACAAGATTATTGGTACCTAACATGATGGCTTTCAGACAAAATATCATAGTCTTTCCATATTACTTTATATTAACATATATGCATGCTAACATGCCTCTGAATTATAAAATGTCTCTTTGTTTTCTTCTTCTGTTTTCAAAGACAGTTCCTGAAATCACTTTCATTTATATAATCCTTTTGAAGAACATGGTAAGTTACAACCAACAGTATGTTTCTGATCCATCACATTGTTGCTTTAATATATTTTGCTCCCCAATACTTCATGAAAGGTCTCAAAATTGAGTGATACCGTAGCTATGACATTTATTCACTCCCCTTGTACCTTCCGCAAGTATTTCACCAGATCTATGTCACTTTTGTCTCTCTGTACTGCTACTTTGACATGTATCT